AGATTCATTTAATTCACTCATGTAAACAAAAAAGTCCAAAGCGATATATGACAAATCAGAAATATTAACCATCATTGTATCTGTCCGGATCAAGGCAATTGCGTATAAGACGGCCAACAGTAGCTTTCCTTCAACTTTAAATTTCTCAGTAAGGAAAGTAACAAAAGAATTTTCTTCATAATCTATAAAATATTACATATTTACTTTGTTACAAAAGTATCAAAAGATAACATAAAACCAACTTTTTTATTTAACATTTAAATTACCTTTATACGTATCTGGCAAATTGGTATAATCAATCAAAGATATAGATTGATTGGTAAAAACATCTTCTTTAGAACATGGAACCTGTGATTATTAAAATAATATGTGAATATTCAAGTCGATTTATTTAATACTAAATACTGTAAATTGTAAAATTCAAACCTTATAAAACGCATCTACAGAATAAACGTAAGTCTTATCCATTGCTTTAAATTCTAAATATCTTCCAACTCCAGAGCTAATTAAAAGTTCAATAAGCTCTCCGCGACAAGGTACTAATTTTGGAGCCAAATCCAAGTTATAACGCTTGGATTCTTTCAATAAAATGGCTAAAGTTTCAACCCTTTCTAAATTGGACATATTTGTAGATACATAACGTAAAATTTCTTCCGGATATTCATTTTCGACCAGGGGAATATCATCTGCCTGTTTAGGAATTGGATAAATTTCATATTCAATTGTAGAATATACTTGTTGTCAAACCTTTGCAAAATTAGTCATCAAGGCTTTTTTGCCTTCAATACCTGAACATGATAATATGTTTCACCACCTAATATCATTTATTTAGTAAAAATTATGATTTTTAACGCATCAAATGTAGAAAATTTGATTGATCATTTACATTCTTGGCCGTTTTCATTTACTGAAGAATCATCAAAACCTAAAATTTCAATTATTTCTTAAATATAAAATTAGGGAATGGGCAGGAATCAGCTGATTTCTTAGGGGGGGGGGTATAACAGTTTAGTCAGGTCTTAATAGAAGTGATTTGATTTGATAAGCTTGTATAACTAGTCAAGTAGGGGGGAGGGGGCTAGGTCACTATAATAAATCGAAATCACCTGATTTCTGCCCATTCCCTTAAAGTAATACAAGACATTGAAAAAATGGCATTAACTTTGGCTAGCCTTGAATAGATCGTATCCATTCCAAAAGTTCTCTAAAATTAATAGAGCTCCAGTTTCCACCATAAAAGTTATTTGCATCTAAATGTAAAACGGACTTCCCGATTCTTGCTAAAGCTCTAGACACATTATTATAAAGTCATTATTATTATTATTATCAGCGATAATAAAAGAGATATAGATTTAGACTTACCCAGCAAGAATTGACTCTATATAACCTGTCCCGAGAATGATAACGTCATATTGATTATACGTAGTAAAAACTGATTTAACGTTACTAATGATCGAAGTTCGATCGACGCTACTGCCGCAGTAGCAGATCCTCAATTGTGATTGGCTAACATAATTTACAAAAAAAAAAAATATGCTTTTGTGGAATAAACAAAATTTACGTCTTCTGATTGGCTATTTGTGTGATTTCACATTACATCAGATCTTATGATTATATAAACAATAGATTTCTGAAATGTAAACAAACAGAACACTTTGTTCTTCCGGGTCTGGTTTGCTCTTAGGCAACGTAACGGTGTTACGCCAGACCCACAGCCTTTTCCCCTCTTTTTGGCTTAATAAAAGAGGCTTTTTCCGCAGGTCGCGGTACTAAGTCGCCCGTCTTTTCTCTTATTGTTCTTTTGACGTACCAACAAGAGCAATACGGGAGGTGTTTTTGTCTTTTTGGGATTTTCTTTCTTCTCTTTTCACCTTCCGAACGGAGAGAACCTCGAACAAACAAAAAAAAAAAAAAATAATAATAATAATGCGATGACGGTACAGAGAAGAACTTGTCTATGATGATTTTTTTTATTTCTGAGACAGGAAATTATGATGGTTTTACCTTTTCACCTTTGGCGTACTAAAAGAAGCTTTATCCGGCGTCAAGTCACATTAAATTTTAATTACAGATAAGTTATTTTAATCGATTTCTAATTAATAAAAACTTGTTTATTTTTCTAGTTAATATTATTTTTTATTTTATTTTTTTTAGAGCGAGATTAAGCCAAATCTTTATTTGACGTAACTGTAAGAGAACCTCTCAGCATTACCGCAGAAATTAGTTACGCGTCCGAATTTAAAATTAACACCAATAGTAACTTCACGTTATGATATGACAGAAATGATTGAGAATACTTTTTTGATAGATTTGTAGTTGTACTATATAATAATTAGAAGTAACTAGATTACTACATCATTTTTTCGTTCATTTCGCAAGATCAATTTAATAAAAATCATGGGTTTTGTATTAGTAAATTGAATTTATTGATGTACTAGAATTTTTATTAATACTGTAATATGCCAAAACTCTATTTTGTCTCGTAGAAGATATAAACATTTCGCGCAATTCGCGTATGAAAATTTTTTGAAAATAGAATATATCATGTATTTTTACGTGTTCTAATACAAGTGATCCTGATTTATCTTAATTATTGACTTAGTCGACTATTAATTTATTTTGTAAATAGTTTTTTTAATTGAACAATAAATTCCCTCAATATCTACAGAAAATTTTGATTAGCGTTTTAAGCCGGTTTGCAAATCTCTAATCGTGACCTGTTGGGTCAAACGTTCCTTTTCAACCGGGTTAACCGGTTATTTTTTGGAAATTTTGGTACTTTTTTTATTAGAGTTCTACTATGTATGCTACCGCGTTCTACTTCGTTTATTATGTTAGTACCGTCATAGGTAACCTTTAATCGTTTAAAATTCTTAATTCATCAAATAATAATTGATTAACAAATTAAATGAAGTATTTAATTAGATATATACAGAACTTTTGATTAGGCCAAAAAAGAAAAAAAAGAAACTCAAATGAATTTATGCTTCAAACATTCACTACGAGGACGCCGGTGGCGCCCTACAAAAAAAAAAAAAAAAAAAAAAAAAAAATCAAACTATCATGTAAATCATATGAAAAATGATCTACATACACCCTACTCTTAAACAATTAACTCTTCCTCATCGGGATCGGGTCCTGCAGGCAAAAACTCCTCACCAGGACACATCTTTTCAAACAGTTGCCTTGCTTGAATGGTAGCCTCTTCAAAATCTAATGAAGAATCTGGGTCACATGCAATAATGATATTCTCGGGTATTTCTGAAGAAATAGAGGATGGTACCATTCGTTTTTTGTGTCGGTAAAATAAAGCGAACAATGGATTCAATTTAGATTCATTTAATTCACTCATGTAAACAAAAAAGTCCAAAGCGATATATGACAAATCAGAAATATTAACCATCATTGCATCTGTCCGGATCAAAGCAATTGCGTTTAAGACAACCAAAAGTATCTTTTCTTCAACTTTAAATTTCTCAGTAAGGAAAGTAACAAAAGAATTTTCTTCATAATCTATAAAATATTTCATATTTACTTTGTTACAAAAGTATCAAAAGATAACATAAAACCAAATTTTTATTTAACACTTAAATTACCTTTATACGTATCTGGCAAATTGGTATAATCTAATGCAAAAGTTAAAAATCTCGTCAATTTGCGCTTTTCAACCAAAGATATAGATTGGTTAGTAAAAACATCTTCTTTAGAACATTGAACATTAGAGTGATCATCAAACTAATTAAATCAAACTATAAGTAGCTAATTTTTATGAAGATTCGAATTTACTGCGGGTAATAGCAACTTTCGGTACAGTTTTCTTTTGAACTAACATAATAATTGTGGTGGCTGAAGCTGAAAATTTTTAATATTTTATTATTAAATTTTTGAAATTTTTTGGGGTGCATTTTTTTTATAGTTAGATTAGAATTTAGGGTTAGGGTTTATATTAAAAGAGTACAAGTAGATTTTAGCAGGGTCTATGGTTTTACTGCGCTTTTCAAATTACTGTGATCAGTGATTTTCATACATCACACCAGAAATCAGAAATCTAGAAAAAATGCAAATCTGTGATTGGTTAGAAATTATTTTTAACCAATCACAGATTTGCATTTTTTCTAGATTTCTGATTTCTGGTGTGATGTATGAAAATCACTGATCACCCCTAATTTTCAGCTTCAGCCCTCACAATAATAATTTTAATTCGCTTAGAATAGTGTAATAATGTTTTTTTTCAATTTATTCTGTTTGCAAGTAGCCAATTTTTCGACAAAGTAAACAAACTTTACTCAATAAGTTCATTAAAAATTAAAAAACCAAGGTTGTTACTAAAAAGAGAGAAACGAGAGCTACGAAACAAAAAAAAATTTGATACAAAAATTTATGTAATTAACTTGAAAATTGTACTTCGTCAGTCATATCGTACCTGTTATATTGATAATACAGTTAGGGATTTTACCAAAAATGGGAGACGTCTAAAGCGGAGTAGGTTACACGAAGTCGATAAAATTATTGTCACGGCTGATGCTGAATTTTGGACCTATTTTATTATGCAATTTTAAAAATTTTTAGGGCCTTTTGTGTAGGATTTTTTTTTTAGGGTTAGAGTTATTAATAAAAGAGTATATGTGGATTATAGGTGCAGACTTATTTACGTCATTAGTTACAGGTTAATTGTGTCTTATTTTATAAACCGATTTTTTATATAGGACGTAACTGGGTGATCTGCACCTACAACTTTTATAATACTTGTAATATCATCATGTGACACTTCTGATAAAACTTACATTCCTATTGGTTGATTTTGTTATCCAAAATATACCAATTTTATTACACAGTATCGTATATTTGCACATCCTAGGTGTGATATTTCGTATTGTATAATATTCAATTTATACTATATATTTATTTTAGGTATATGTAGGAATAACACACGCCATAAAGCAAATCTACGATCAAGAAGGGATAAGCGGATTTTATCGTGGAGTTTCTGCATCTGTGATATCAATTATTCCATACATGGGTTTGATGTTTGGTAGCTATGAAATGTCTAAAAAATCTTTTCAGCGCCTTGAGGTAAGATTATTTTCAAAAGTTTTTATATGAGCGATATCACTTTTTCTCATTCATCTTTAAAATAGGAAAAGAGTTTATGGTTAAGTAATTTAAGGGGCACTGAAGATTTTTTAAGTGGTGCATTAGCTGGAATAATTGGCAAAACTGGCGTATTTCCTCTTGATTTGCTAAGAAAACGATTACAAATTCAGGGTCCTGATCGATTAAATTATGTGATCAAGAATATTCCTGCATATTCTAGCTCCATATATTCTTGCATACGGCAAATAATTATCGAAGAAGGTTTCTTGGCCCTTTACAAGGGACTTACCCCTGCATTGTTAAAATCTGCACCAGTCAGTGCTACAACGTTTTTTGTCTATGGACAAACCAAAAAATTATTAGAAAGGTTACATGGGATATCTTCATAGCGTCGTAACTAGTGATGGGACCCAAACCCGATAGTTTTGGTCCCCATATCAACCCAAATAGCCGAAACTAGTTTCGGATTTGCTGTAACACAATCCCAAAATAACGATAATGTTTGCAAGTTTAAATAAGTGTACTACGCTAAATTATATTATTGCTTTAAAGTTATAAAGCTTCTTTTACAATGTTATCTACACAAAAATGTAAATTTCCACGACTAACATAATCAGAAACCTTCTCACAACGTAATGCAAGATGGCTTTCCATTACTTTTGGTTTGCCTCTTAACCAACTCTGTCTACAAGATACGCAAGTTGCACTAGCTGAACCCTCAGTAAAATACTCCTATACCGCAGCTTTTGGACGTTCACTTTTCTTTCGATAAATACTTGTTGATTATCCGTAGTATCGCTTGTTGAAGGTTTCGTAATATCTTCAGAATCCATTTGATGATACAAAAATATTTTAAATTTTGAAAATTCTTTATTATTTAAAAAAAAAAGACATCGATTTATTTATTATTAATAATAAGTAGTCAAAATACTTTATTATATTTATTAAAAGACATCGATTTATTTATTATTATTAATAAGTAGTCAAAATACATCGTTATATTTTATTAAAAGCATCATTATATTTATTACAGTAAAAACGTTATTATATTTATTAAAACTGTCATTATTATTTATTTTGAATCAGCGATCATAGTGTTTTTTGGGATTTGGGAATATGTTTGGGATTGGGATTATATTTGGATTTGAGATTACATTTGGGTTTCGGCAAAAGCTCAAATTCTGACTGAAAACTGCCGAAAGTATTTGGGTTCTATCACTAGTCGTAACTAACTTAGCATATCAAATTGATCTAGAATAAGCAAAATGAATTAAGGGGTAATCCGCAGTTAAAGGGTATAAATTTCATACGTAGTAAAAATCGGCGTGGAATCCCAAAAGTTTTTTGCAATAGTAAAAATCATATAGTAAAAAAAAATAAAAATACTAATATCTCGGGATATACTGAACCGATTTTAATGATTTTATTACCATTA